ATCTTTGTTGGTATGTGGTGCTGAGGATCGAACCCGGGCCGCACGCATGCCAGGCGAGCGCGCTACCGCTTGAGCCACATCCCCAGCCCCTAGAACATATTTTCATAAGTGTATTTTTAAAAATTTTTGAGGCCATTAAATACCATCATTTAAAGGTTAATGATGTCCATGTGAAGAGATATCTGTGCTATGCTATTAAATCTGGCGTCCTACACTATCTGATATATTATCATGGTAAGTTGGCACAAGAGTGTCAAAGAACAACTGAGATCATTAACAACATAAAATAATAGTTTACGCTATGAATTTATTTTTTGCAACATTAGAGGTGGAAGTGAAATTTTGATTGGCAGGAAAATTTGAATTCCAAAGCCCAAATGAAACAATCAAAGATGTATACTTGTATTAAAAATTAACTCCTCTTTATTCTTTGCATTTCTTCTTTGGATTTCTTAACATTTTTCCCCTTTAGAACAAAACTATAGACACCAGTAATCTATTTAAAGTCTCTTTTTTTTTTCCCTTCTTTCTCTTTCTTGTTTAGGATTTGTAAACGGCCTTTCTGCTTAACAGTCTCCTCCATGAATTAATAATTTGGATTTCGAATTATATAATATTTTCTAGCACTAGATTTGTCATATGTGATTTAAAATATGTACAGGATGGTAGTGTATTTATAGTATATTTGTCTCATCAGATACAGGGACTTAATGTCCCTTCATATATTTTAACTCTGAATTTCTCCAAGTCTGATAATCCTACTGGCATTTCTTGCATCTCTGTTATGCAGGAGGAGTGCATCTTCTAAGCCAATTAGCATGCTAAAGAATGGGTTTGGTTTTGTGCTCCATTAAAGTCAACTAAATGGAGGCGCTGCATGTCTTTATTTCAAAAATAAAGCTGAACAATTAAATCCCGTGTCTCTTTGCTCAGCTTTTGATCCCACACAAAGCGTTCCCACTTGCTGCCTTTGGATGTAATGTTAACCAAGTCAGTTAACATCAAGCGCTGCAGTAACAGGCATAGCAGAATTCCTTGTTTTTGCTCAATCAGTCTGTGTTCAAACTATCAGTTTGATTTATTTGTCCACATTGACCCTTATTCACCACTTAATTATCCTCGTATAATGTTTCAAGAGGCTCCTGACACAAGGAGAAAGACAATTGCCGATGTTCTGTAAACCAACGGTTGACCTGATGGGCCTGATGGAGCCCGTGGGTCGAAGGTTCTTTGCCTTTGGAAGAAACCACTTCTCCAGCCTGAGAGCCCGGGGCAGGGCCACTCTCTGTGGGTGCCCGGGGCTGTGCGGTCAAGCTGTTAATCAGTTCTGAGTGTGTGCTGACCATCACCACAGGATGTTCTTGGTGTTTCTCTCTAGCAGTCTCTCCCAGCCTCTGATAACATTGAGACTGTGAGATTGAAGAAAAAAGAAACCAAGAACCCGGCCACACTTGCATTTCAGCCTTGTCCTCCAGAGTACTGTTGTGATTCGACATAGATTTTCTCATTGTCTGTGTGAACAGGAGTGGGTTAGGATCTGTAAGAATCACACATGAAATGAGAAATAATATTAGGAACATTGAACTGCTTGGCTTTGTGGCTGATCTCTAAGCACCTGTTAACAAGTCAGGTGTATGATACTTTGGAAAACAAACCAATATCTGTTTTTTATACTTTGCTAGGAATACCATTTATAGCACTAGCTTTCATTCATAGAAATAGAGCATTCCTATAGACTAAAAGTGTAATTTTACACATACAAGGTGATTTTCTAAAAGTTGAAATTCCTTTCGGGCAAATTGAGTCTGCATTTCATTTACCTACATCATAATATATATATATATTTACATCACTCTCCCAACCTCAGTTGTCATTTTAATTTTTCACATATTTTCTTGTTTAGTATATGGTCCATCTTTTTTTTTTTTAGAGAGAGAGTGAGAGAGAGGGGAAAGAGAGAGAGAGAGAGAGAGAGAGAGAGAGAGAGAGAGAGAGAGAGAGAGAGAATTTTTAATATTTATTTTTTAGTTCTCGGCGGACACAACATCTTTGTTGGTATGTGGTGCTGAGGATCGAACCCGGGCCGCACGCATGCCAGGCGAGCGCGCTACCGCTTGAGCCACATCCCCAGCCCTATGGTCCATCTTTTTAAATTTTGCTCTCCATAGTTAATAATGTAAAAGGCAGCATATTTATTTTCCATACACTCAAATATGGTTTGAACCAAACATTTAAAAAATTTCTCAAGAATTCCTAATCCAACATGGCCTACACTTGTTGGTGATTTTTATTTTTTATGTCTTGGCCTTTCTCTCTCTGTAATGGGAATATGATGACAAATGTTACTGCACAGGAATAATATCATAAGAATCGAATAAATGACAGTGGCAATTTCAAAACAGAAAACATCAAGCATTTCTAAAAGTTACTCAGTAGGACTTTGCTATAACTGCAATCAACATCCTAGGAAGCATTTTTTCAGAAGCTGTAACTGATATGAAAACCACCAGACGACAGTCTTGTGCACACCACAGTCCTGAACTATCATCCTTCCACCCTGAGGAGGTCTGAAATCTCTGCAGGGAGGGTTTAGCATCCAGTAACCCTCTGGCTGATGTGGTGCACAGGACCAAGCATCAAGTACCAACCATGTGGTCCTAGGAAGCCCATTCAAACTTGCTATCAGAGAGGGCTTTCTACAGTCTGAGGCTGGAACCCCTGCAGTGTAGAAGGATTTCCTAGCTAAGTGACCATGAGTGGGGTAGCCATGCTCCGGAGCTGCATGCCTAGCTTGGACCAGAGTAGACCCACTTTTTTCAGTTTATAAGATAGTTTTTTTATGACAAAGTGTTCCACAAGTTTTGAAGATGCCTTCCAATTTGTGGGTTATATAATTCTAGGAATCAAATCAAAGCCCTGGGAGCTGAAAGCAGGTAGAGACAAAGGAATAGATAAAACAGACAAAAAACCATAGGTGGAAAATTTGCCCTCCATCTTGTCCTTTAGACGGGTCCACTCTCCTTCCAGTGAGTTCCATTTGCTGCTGGAGAAGCAGCATGAGATCCTGCTTCAAGAAAAACCACAGAATTTTCTCTGCTGTAACAATGGCCTCTAATACCAAGAAATTTTTATGCCATTTTCTATTAGAAATGATCAGAATAAAGATCTCTCTGAGAAAAACATAGCCATCTTTAAAAAAAGAAAACATTATTGTTGTTTTATCTTCTTCTTCTGCTCAATGTTTATTTCTAATCTGAATAATTAGTTACCTTTACCAATGTCCTTCAAAACAAGCTCTATGTCAAATTCCTCTGCTAATGATGAAACCATATACAAACATAAAAGTAAAGAGAGTAAAAACTGATAGCCAGGGATGCAGGAAAAGGCAAATGTTTTAGCAAAGAGTCTTAAATAACTTAAAGTAATTCTAACTAATTGACTTAAGGTTAATATGAAGCTAACAAAGATGGTAAGAAGGAACTGGACTCTGAAGATAATTCTAAATTCACAGCATAATTTTGGATTATTATGGGAAAGGTTAAAATTTTGCTAGATTTGTCTTTTGGTGGAGTAAAATTTCAACAGCTTCCTGAAGACAAATGGAGAAATAATATTTGAGAACTTGCCTTGGTTTGAGGACCGTGAGAAGTGACTTCATCGCTTTAAAAACACAAATGACTCCTCTACACAACACCTCTGGGTCCTGGAAGAAGTAATTCTGTCTTTCAGAAACACAGTTGGAACACAGGGACCTCAACGACTAGGAGTATTAGGGAGATCACCTTGGTATAGTCACTATTTATGCCTGCACACATGGTCTCCAAATGAGCTTCCTTTCAATTCAGGTCCACTTGCAATCCTACACATTGGGGCTCAGAACATAAAACCCTGCGGTATGGCGCCCTTGCATACTGAGTGCTTTGAACTGAAGGATACTGGATACTGAAGCCTCAGAACCAAGTTCTGCTTGAACTTCTACTCTTTTCCTGTCCCTTGCCCATCTCTGTCCCCCAAAGCAAATCACAAAAGCCAGAATTCCTCTTCCCCAAGGCAGGTCATAGGAACTAGAACTGCTCTTCTCCAAAGCAAGACATAAAATTTAGAAAAGTTACTCTCTCCCTTCTCCCTTGACCCTTGAAGCTCCTCATTCCAGAGGACTCCTGCTCCATACCAGGGAAGCGGAGGGAGAAAGGAATGCTACACAGAGCCCACCAGGAGTCTGAACAGACAGGCCTTGCTGGGCTTCCCCTCAATCTATTACCCTTAGATCACACCCTTCTGTCCAATTACATTTTTACATGGCTCTCCATTCTTCATCAAATCTAAGCATAAAAATGGACAGTTTTCCCTGGGTCTTTGGGTCTGTGTTTCTGAAATCTTGTGGATCACACAAAACTTTGATAAAATAAACTCATTATGCTTTTCTCTTGCTATCTTGTCTTTTGCTCTAAGAATGACATCCATGACTGTTATGATGAGTACCCCTGCATATAACACCTACGAAGCAGGTGCAGTCATCCTTTTAAGGAGAAACTAACTAGGACTCAGGGTGAATGATCAGAATGCAAACATTGATCTCCTGGACTCCTCACTCATTCTCTTTCTATTCACTCAGTGGCCACCATAATAAGATGACAATTTATCTAGAACATAAATATACTTATGGGAAAATATATTACAAGTTGAAGTGGCAGGGGGCAAGAAAGAAGCAGAAAAATAATGGAAATATAGCGCTTGTGACCATATGTCAGAAGCCATGCAAAATGGAATTTGGAAGCCATGCAAAATGGCAAGGACCTGACTAGAGATGTTGAAAGAGAAGCAATAAAGTGCACAGAGTATTGGTTAAAATATTTGTTTGGCAGTAGGTGGGAACTGAGTCCCCTAGAAGGCTTCAAGCAATGTCTAGAGATGTTTTTGGATGCGGGGAGGGTGTATTATTACCATCTGTTGTGTAGAGGCCAGGAATGCTTCTAACCATTCTATAGTGCACACCACCATCCCGTACAACCAAGAACTTATCCAGTCCAAAATGTCAATAGCATTTTAAATGAAAAATACATTAAGAAAAATTGTCTTCTATCATTGTATTGATTCTTTTTCAATAATAGTCTTTAAATGTACTGGCAGGAATGTCAGAAGTTTGCTTAGCATATTAATTCTGAATATTGAGATGATTACAATGGTTTTGGTGAGGCAGTTAAATGTTTAAATATACTTAATGTCTCTAATACTGGAAGGAATATTTCCCTTAAATGATTGATATTCAAAGTATTTTTAAGTTTTAAATGATCAAAGGTACTATATAATGTTAAGTATTGGGCTAAAATAAAGTAGTAAAATTTTCTGGCAATATTTTTCTTCTTTCAATTAGGAACATTGGAATTCCTTCCCTGAGATTATTTGAACCTTGGGATTTGGAAAAAAATAACATCTAAGATCACAGAAAAAGATGCAGGACAGACAGCACAAGGTTAAGATTTTTCTAAACTTATGCTTCACTTAAAATTCCTATTTTGTTCAAATTTGTCTCTTTCTTGAAAAACAGACACTGAACACAAATAAGATGCCACAGAATATCCTATGAAGAACAAAACGTCAACTTAATATACTGTTTAATCATGTGTCAAAAACCAAAATGAATACTTAAAAGTACAATTGTTAATGAACTCCACAAAACAAACTTCACTAACTTGTTTATTGAAAACTAACTAATTGTGGAGAAAACAACAATAACGACACTTCATTTACTTATCTTACACGAGTCTTTCTAGTACAAAAAAAGCATTGAGACTCAGTGTTCAGTGGAGTCTCTGAGGCTGACCCCAAAGTTCAGATTTGCATTGTTATGGCAGAGGGGCTTCTGTCTCCCAGAATCTGGTAAAGAGAATCAAGCTGTGTTTTTCCACGTGGTGACTCCCTTAAGCAGAATTATAAAAATGCTTTTAATAAAAAGATGCAAATATACAAGACTTTATGGTGGGTATCAATAGATGAAAAACCACTAATTTTCTATCATTGACCACAAAGTCAGTATATATCAAAGAGTTTGGCCAAAGCATAGCAATAAAGCATTCACCTACTGGGTAATATTAAAACAAAGCAAGATAAAAGTAAAGTTGGTTCATTTCTTCCCATCACAACAAAAAGATTGATAAAGAACATACTTGATATCAAACAGAGTTTCCTGCTGGCTCCAGTTACCTGGGAGTTTGGAGCCTGCAGTTTGAATAATGTTCTGCCTACAATGGGAGTGACAGCAGAAGTGTGGAGAGAATGATGGGGCTTCCTGCAGGCTGGGCTTTTAGAATTCAGACTCATTCTTTATTCTCCAGCAGAAACGATAACAAACGTGTAAATAAATAGTCACCCATCTTCTGATGTTGCTTTTTTTGGTGCTGGGAATTGCATAACAGTTCATCCAGCAGAGGTGAGCTGTCTTCATCAAACTACGAGCCAGAGTGATTAAGTCTGCAAAAGAGCTAGCAAAGAAGAGTTCTTCATTGTTTTTCCTGAAAATAAATGTCGACATGAGATTCCTGAAGAAATAGAATTTAGGTAGTTGGAGCATGGACTAAAGATGATTCGATTATGGAAAACAAAAATCTATAGTATCAATAGACTTCATGCACTTGCATAAGTTATAATTTTAAGGATGATAATTTTTGTCTCCCTAATCCTTGAAAACTGTCTGCAAAAGTAATAAATATTTTAATATAAAAAATCTAAATTTGACATATAATAATTATGCTAGAAATCATAAAGATTTTTTTTCCTAAAAGAAATACCTAAATCAATATCAAAGAGCTCCTACATGATCCTCAGGTACTTGGTTGTTATTTACCTAATTTTTAAATATATCAATAAAAAGACTTAAACAACACATTTTATAAATGTACATATTCTTTTCTAACCATTCCTAGCCACTCTAATAAAAATTATAATATTTAATTGTCATTTCAATTTTTGAAATCCACCTATGTATCTATGGTTTAGCTACTGTGTTTCAAGTAATATGCAAGGGAAACACTGTAACTTCTGATAAATTAACCTTTAAATTAAAGAAAGAGACCAAAAAAAAAAAAATTCTAACATGAATCTCACCTACTGAGCTAGAGAAGCCGTTCATAGTGACCACCAGGGGACAGCATCATCCAAAGGTTGAGGGCAGGGAAGGGCAAGAGACACACAGAAGGATATTTGTGATGGTAATAGTTAGCCGACCTGTTTAGAAGTCAGAGTCTCACATTGTTTTCTAGTTTTCCAAATCAAAACCCCAAAGTATGAGAGCAAGTTTTTTCTCCAATCTGAAAAAAAAAAGTGAAAGAAATTTCAAAGCCAAAATAATAACACTTTATAAAATTTAACCTTGTGCCTTACTGTTCTAAGTGCTTAGTAGTAACACATTTAGTCCTCATAACAACCCTGTGATGTGCACAATGTTATTACCCACAGTATTACAAATGAAGAAACTGAAGCATAAGGACCTTATCACTTGCCCAAGTCACACCATCAAGTAGTGGAGCTGGGATTCAGACACTGCATTAGCTCCAGAATCCAGGAATAAGTTCTCTCTAGCAGGACCAAGACTCCTTTCTTTCCTTATGTGGTCAGCAAGCCTCTGATTAACTGCAAGTCAGATAGTAATTTCCTCCTTCCACCCCATCTTCCTGGGAGATAAAGTATGATTTTTCTCTTATTTTCCATAATAATTCATCTATACTTTTAAAAAAATATATTCCGTGTTCTTTTGAAATTGACACTATATATTACAAGCACACTTGTCAAAGAGAAGAATGTCTACTTTAAGATTTCGAGTTTTCAGAAGGTAGGAATCTAAATGTGTACAAAAGTAAAGACCAGAGTCTCAGGCAGCTGCACTTATAAATTGACAAAACCAACAGTCCATGTAGGGGGAAACTGAAGAATATCTACAAAAGTATATATTAAAATCTCATCATGATTCTGAAAGAAAAAAATGACTGAAGAATTATTGAGAGGGGTCCCGAGTTAGAATATGAAAAGGTCAAGTTAAGTGAATCAAGAATATCAAATTAAAAAATAAAAGAATTTAAGATAAAATAAATAGGAGAGAGAAGTGGTAAATCAACATGAAACAAATCTGAACTGCCAAGTAAACAACACATTCAGTCTTTTATTGTTTCATCTGGCAAATACGGAGAGTCAGAGGCAGAATTAGTAACCTTTTCATAAGGCACAGCCTTAAAAGAAGACTAGGATTTTCCTAGAAGAGGCAAAGAGGGCGAAAGCTTCCTAGCAAAGGGCTCAACAAAAGTCAAGTGCAGAGATGTGGAAGAGCAGACAGTGTTCGAAAAAATGGTAAAAAGCCATAGTTAGTTAAGTGTGTGGTCTATGGAGAGAGGTTGGGAAGAGAGACCTGCAATGTAGGGGTGTAGGAGAAAAAAAAATTCTTGTATCAACACTAGGTTCATGACTGAGGCCCCTATGCACTTGGCAGACTAAGAGAAGCAACAGAGAGAAGTAAGCAGAGCAAGTGAATAACAGCAAGTAGACAATTAACAGCATCTCCAATAGCAGGAGTGTCTCCAGAACATGTACTGAGTGAATTCAGACAATGACATCTTGAGGTCACTTAACACCCATCAGTCTCAGACCAGCAGGATGAGTAAGAACCCAGTTATCTATAACAGAATTTCTTGAACATAGGGATGTGTCCATCAAGCATTTTGAAGTTCTGCCATGTTGAAGGCATTGGGCTAGGTGCTACAAAATCCAAGACAAAAGAGATGATTCCTGCCACTTAGAAGTTCACATCTGTACAGGGGAAGTGATCTAAATGGACAATAAAACAAACTATTGCTCTGCAGCCTAGGCCTTCTGATGAACAGCTGTTTGCATAATTCTAAGACTGTCAGAGTAATAAGAAGCTGCTCCTTCTAAAGGAAGCTCAAGTTATTGCTTCCCAGAGTTCTCAGGGTCAAGGATGCTTTTCCTTTCCTCTTTCTTCTCACCTAGAAAATTCTACATACTTCAGGAATCACATCCCAGAAGAGGTCTCTAATTCTCTCATCCCAGATCTTAATAAATGCCTAGTTAGATGAATGAGTGAATGATGGAATGTTTGTTTGACATTTCAGGTCACTTCTATTTTGCATGATTAAAATATAAGAAAAAGTATTCCTAGTAATTAAAGGCTTTTGCCTCCTTCCCTCTCAGAAAAGGATTAACATTGTGCTCTTAGTTTACAAATAGACTTTTTTCTTTTTAAAAGATTTACTTGAAAAAGCACTGAATGGTGTCCACGCAGGCGAAAAGATAAAAGTGGGAAGTATGCTAGATAGAAAATTAAAATACTATTTTTTTATATTAGTTGGACACCATCAAACTGGGTAACTTTATACAATTTGGTGTTCCTGAGTCTAATATTCCTCCCTGTTCTAATTTGTGTGTGTTAATCAACATCTCTTCTTTGGGCATAGTAGAGGAAGGAGAAGACAGGAAAAATTAATTCACCATGACCAGAAGAATGAAAAAAGAGCCATTTTTAGCACTTAATACAAGTCCAGTTTTAGTGTGCCTGGGTATGCGATAGTATTTTGTTTCTAAACTGACTCTAACATGCATTGTTTTTGTATCTGCAGATGAAGACTTGGAGAGCTAAAGCTGTAGCATTCTCCCCAAAGTGGCAATATTAATCAATGCTGGAGTAGAGAGATGCCAAATATATACTGAAACATGCTAACATAAAAATAAAATGCAAAAATATCCAAATGCAATCTTCCTATGATATGAAAATCTCTGAGAAAGTACAGAAGGTTCCCAATTTATGATGTCTGCTTTCAATTTTTCAACTTTGTAATGGTGGTAAAGCATCCATTCAGTGGAAAGTGTATTTCGAATTTGGAAATTGCATGTTTTCTTGGGCTCATGGTGTGCAGTGTGGTGTTCTTTTATAATGCTTAGCCACAGCAGTGAGCGGCAAATTCTGGTTAGCCCTGCAATCACAAAGGGAAACAACTTACACTGTATTCTATAGCACATTATACTCAATAAACTACGTGAGATACTCAATGTTTAATCATAAAAATTGGCTTTGTGTTAGACAATTTTGAGTTACATATAAGATAGGCTAAGCTATACTTTGGTGTTGTACATTAGGTGTATTACATGAAATTTTCAACATACAATGTTTTCAAATTACAAAGAGTTTTCCAGTATATAATCCCACATAAATCAAGAAACATCTGTACAATTATTAGGCTAAATTTTTGTATAGTAATGTGATGCAGAAAATTATTTTGTATTTGAAGTTAGCAAATAATTACTGATCAAAAACTGGGTGATGGTGAGATAGAATTAGTGTCTACCCCTGAAACACTATTTCCCTATAAAGACAGACATAATCAACCAAGTATGATTCAGCAGGCTAAGTACTTGATAGCAGGGGATGGGATGTTCTGGGAGACTATACAATGAGCTCAGAATTCTATTTGAGGGCTGGGTGTGTGGCTCAAGCGGTAACGCACTCTCCTGGCATGCGTGGGGCGCTGGGTTGGATCCTCAGCACTACATAAAATAAAGATGCTGTGTCCACCGAAAACTGAAAAATAAATATTAAAAAATTCTCTCTCTCTCTTTTTAAAAAAGAATTCTGTTTGAAGATTTAGGAAAGATTTGACGGCACAGTGGAGGTGAGTTGGCTGAGAGTTGGGTGGACTTGCTCCTGAGAAAGGAATCACTATGAGCAGAGACCCTAAAGCAGAGAGCTATGGCTTAGTCTGGAGAATGAATACATGTTTCCTATGTCTGAAGGGTAGGATTTCAGTAAAGAGTGGTGTTATAGTTTGGATCTTAAGTGTTCCCCAAAGGCCTGTAGTGAAAGGCTTGTTCCCTCAAGTGGTGATATTGGGAAGTAGTGGAAACTAGAGATGGGGCCTACAGGAAGGTCTTCTAGTTGCTGGGGGATATTCTCTTGAAAGAGATCGCAGGACCCCAGCCCCTTCTCCTCCTCTGTCCTTCACCCAACCGTGAAGTGAGTGGCTTTGTACTCTGCTGCACACTTCCTGCCATAATGTGCTGACTTGCCCCAGTCCAAAAGCAGTGGGGCCAACTGACCAAGGTTTGAAACATTCCAAAACTGTGAGCTGAAATAATTTATCTTTATAAGTTGCTTTCTCTTGGGTATTTGTCACAGCAATGGAAAGCTGACTAACACCAGTGGAGAGGAATGAGGATAGGATTAAGGAGGAAAGAGCCAGGCTATCATGAGCCTGGAAGCCATGCTTAGGAGATTAGACTGAATTCTTAGGGTCACTGAGTATCTTGTGCTCTTGCTTGTGAAGTCAGTAGTGGAAAGGCTGAGAGTGGAAAGGCTGAATTGGAGAGGAACACAACTGTAGGCAGGTTACAACAGTAGATTCCATTATGTGCTTACAAGTGTCTTTTCCTCCTTATTCTTGCCATATATTCCTGTGGGCATAGTATACTACTGGCCACCCCTTACAACTTTGAGGTTGACCAGGGGACTCCCTTTGGTCAAGAAAAAAAAATTGTGGACATTTATGTGCCACCTCCAAGCAGAAGCCTTAAGTGTGTGTGAGGTAGTTCTGCCTCCCTTTATCTTCTATCCTTGGCCATGAGACTAGTTAGCCCCAGAGAGGAGCTACTCTGTCAACCTAAATCCCAGAATAAGAAAACATGCATAGAACCAGGTCAACTTGAGGCCAGGTAAGCCAAACTCAGACAAGCACAGCACGTTGATACTTGCTGTTGCCCTGTGGTCCTCAAGTAATGTAATCAAGAAATAAATTTATGTTTTATTAAATAACTAAGATTTGGGGATTGTTTATTACCACAAATAATTGCTAAATAATCAATCAGGTAAAATGTGATAATTCAGGTGCAGGTGATTGTGGCATAAAATAGCGGCATTGAGGTTGGAAGAGTTGAGGGCTATTTAGGAAATAAAGCCAAAGAGACTTTAGGGATTAATTAGAGATTAAAGTGAGAATAAAAAGAAAATGAATCATGATCTCCAGATTTCTGGCTCAGCCGATGGAAATAGGAAGCAAGGACATGTTCCAGGATTGAAGGTGTTGGATTCTTTAACAGATGCAAAGAAAATAATGGAGAATATAATAATACTTTAAAATGTTTCAATACCCATGTGTGTGATTATAATTATTAAAGTGACTGTTATTCATCTCTATCTACCATCTAACAAGTGAAAATAAGCTTAATTTGCATGAAAAGAGGTTATTACACTCAAGAATGACACTTCTGACTGAAAGGGTTATTCGATATTAGTATGCATTATCCATGGTAT